GTGGATGATAATCAAAAAGGGTGTTGCATCTTGACAGGCAGGGAGATATAGGTCGACTAGAATTTGAACATTTGTTGATGAATGAATTGATGTAAGAAAGACCAAAATGAAGAAATATAAGGAGACATATCAACATAAAATATTAGGACACTACTAGAAAAATGACGTATACGGACCGACCATATACGGACCGAATATTGTCGGTCCAGAAAACTAAATATTCGAACCAATATCGGTCTGAATATACCAATGAACATATTCGGACCGGTATCGGTCCGTATATTTCTGGCGCGCGTCATAGTATAGACGCGCCAATAATATTCAGACCGTTTTCGGTCTGAATATTATTTCTGGAAAAAAATAAATATTAAATACCAAAAAATATTTCTGGCGGGAGTCAACAGTATAGACGCGCCAGTAATATTCGGACCGGTTTCGGTCCGAATATGTTCTCTGAAAAAAATAAATATTAAATACCAAAAAATATTTCTGGCAAGAGGCAATAGTATAGACGCGCCAATAATATTCGGACCGGTTTCGGTCCGAATATTATTTCTGAAAAAATAAATATTAAGTACCAAAAAATATGAATAAAATATTATTTAACTAAATATATACGGATCGGTTTCGGTCTGTATATATCCATTAGAGAATATCTCTGAAGCGATTGGACGCTGGGTCCCGCTGACAGTGTTTTTCGGACCGGTATCGGTCTGGATAAGGCTGCGTGCAGCCTTCTTCCCTTCGGTTCGCCCGTCCCCCCATTCTGCGATTTCTCCACAATTTTCCTCTGTTTTTTCTGTCTTTTTTCTTCCTCTCCATTGCAAGCTTCTCCTCCAATCTCTGGCCAACAACCACCAAGGTAAATAACTTTTTTCAGCCAGTTTTTGGCCGGCTTTTTTTTTTTTTTTTGCATCCTAACAAATTTTTTTTTTTCCATAGTCTAACCATAATTTTTTTTTGCAGATCTGGTGTGTTTATCGGTTGATCTGGGCTTGATCTGGGCATTCGCAAGTTTTTTGGTTTCTAATCTACCTATAAGTGAGTTTTTCGAATTTTTTTCTTTTATTTTCAAATTTTTTTAATTATTATGTATTTTTTATTAAAATTTGAAAATAAAATTTGTATTTAATTGTTGAAAT